TTATTTGGTTTCGCATCAGAATGTACTCAGTATTCACAGTGACATCATGCGCACACAAATAAAGCATTTTTTTCTCTCGACACGTCTGAAATATTTGGTCGAAAACGAAACTGTATAGTAAAGGTGTTTGAAGTGAAATGGTATGTTATGGGGCTATACGAAAAGGAAAAAGTGTGATCACAGAATCTGAAGTTGTAATAAATCTAATATATTATTTTTGAAATCATAGGTACCTTTTTCTATTGCGTACGGTCCAAGCAAGTATGGACATTTTACATGCACTAGTATATATGTATGATAAAAATAAATTTGTGGGCATTTTAAGGGCAGATTTGACACTTTCATAAGACGTTCGTTGAAATGGTTAGGACGCGTTCATGTGACAGACAACACAATATTTCTTTCTATCGATTGCACGATACAGAGTAATGGCTAAAATGAGTGAAACGACTCCTTTTTCCATGTAGAGAAAACCTAATTATGAGAAAAATCGTGATGTTTTTTGTACTATATTTGTTATTTACATATTGTGAGAAATTCATCTCTGCCTTGAGAAAATACCAGTGTGTGAGTATGGTTTTACGCCGCGTTTAGCAATATTCCGGCAATGTCACATCAGAAATAGGCTTCACACATTGTACCCATATGAGGAATCAAACCCAGGCCTTCAGCGTGACGAGCGACCGCTTTAACCACTAGGCTACCTCACCGCCCCTCAGAAAACATCAGAAATATAAACGCTTCCCTTAAAATCAGCACTTTTAAGCCGTACCTCTTCATATCATTTAGTGTTGTTGTGAAAATAGTTCTCTCTCATATGAACACACCAGAGAACGCCCACAATACTTCTTAAAAACATCCATGTTAATCAAGCATGCAGGTCTAGTAAGCTCCACATTTGAAATTCATCAATGTTTATGTCATAACCACACGAATACATTAACTTCATGTTCTTGTTGATACTTCTTAGTGTGTACCCCACCCCAATATATACACCCGTTACCACTATAACAAGCGGTCAGAGGTCACTCCTGTAGGGTTGACCAGACGTTTCACCTGAATGTATTAATAATACTAGGGACGTTAAAAACCAAGACAACAATCTCTATTCCTTCTCAGTACTTTTCCCAGTGAATGTGTGTCCACGCGGGTTTCCTATACACGAATGCTATCGTCTAAATCCAATGTTTCACTCCATCGCATGTCTCGAGGTTACCTTGCGGCCAGAAACATGCAAGCTTGTGATTCAAATTGCGTGATTGCGACAACCGTTCACCGCAATCCTTTATTTTCAACAGGCTATAAACAAGTGCGAAAGCAAGTGATGTCGGGATGGTTTATTGCCGTTAACACGCAAAGTCCCAATAGGATACGTGTAATTTCGTGGTTTCACAATAATTTCAGCTCAGCCCCCGAGTGATGTGAGTGAGGTTTGATCTGTAAAATAAATCGTACATGGGTCGCCATTACTGACTCTGAGGGTTCAAATGCCGGTGTTTCGCACTGTGAGCTTGTACTGTATGCATGGTATTACCATCCTTCTGTCGTACCGTGAGCTTGTACTGTATGCTTGGTATTACCATCCTTCTGTCGTACCGTGAGCTTGTACTGTATGCTTGGTATGACCGTCCTTCTGTCGTACCGTGAGCTTGTACTGTATGCTTGGTATTACCATCCTTCTGTCGTACCGTGAGCTTGTACTGTATGCTTGGTATTACCATCCTTCTGTCGTACCGTGAGCTTGTACTGTATGCTTGGTATTACCATCCTTCTGTCGTACCGTGAGCTTGTACTGTATGCTTGGTATTACCATCCTTCTGTCGTACCGTGAGCTTGTACTGTATGCTTGGTATTACCATCCTTCTGTCGTACTGTGAGCTTGTACTGTATGCTTGGTATTACCATCCTTCTGTCGTACCGTGAGCTTGTACTGTATGCTTGGTATTACCATCCTTCTGTCGTACCGTGAGCTTGTACTGTATGCTTGGTATTACCATCCTTCTGTCGTACCGTGAGCTTGTACTGTATGCTTGATATGACCGTCCTTCTGTCGTACTGTGAGCTTGTACTGTATGCTTGGTATTACCATCCTTCTGTCGTACCGTGAGCTTGTACTGTATGCTTGGTATTACCATCCTTCTGTCGTACCGTGAGCTTGTACTGTATGCTTGGTATTACCATCCTTCTGTCGTACTGTGAGCTTGTACTGTATGCAAGGTATTACCATCCTTCTGTCGTACTGTGAGCTTGTACTGTATGCTTGGTATGACCATCCTTCTGTCGTACCGTGAGCTTGTACTGTATGCTTGGTATTACCATCCTTCTGTCGTACCGTGAGCTTGTACTGTATGCTTGGTATTACCGTCCTTCTGTCGTACTGTGAGCTTGTACTGTATGCTTGGTATTACCATCCTTCTGTCGTACCGTGAGCTTGTACTGTATGCTTGGTATGACCGTCCTTCTGTCGTACTGTGAGCTTGTACTGTATGCTTGGTATTACCATCCTTCTGTCGTACCGTGAGCTTGTACTGTATGCTTGGTATGACCGTCCTTCTGTCGTACTGTGAGCTTGTACTGTATGCTTGGTATTACCATCCTTCTGTCGTACTGTGAGCTTGTACTGTATGCTTGGTATTACCATCCTTCTGTCGTACCGTGAGCTTGTACTGTATGCTTGGTATTACCATCCTTCTGTCGTACCGTGAGCTTGTACTGTATGCATGGTATGACCGTCCTTCTGTCGTACCGTGAGCTTGTACTGTATGCATGGTATTACCGTCCTTCTGTCGTACCGTGAGCTTGTACTGTATGCTTGGTATGACCGTCCTTCTGTCGTACCGTGAGCTTGTACTGTATGCTTGGTATTACCATCCTTCTGTCGTACTGTGAGCTTGTACTGTATGCTTGGTATTACCATCCTTCTGTCGTACTGTGAGCTTGTACTGTATGCTTGGTATTACCATCCTTCTGTCGTACTGTGAGCTTGCACTGTATGCTTGGTATTACCATCCTTCTGTCGTAACGTGAGCTTGTACTGTATGCTTGGTATTACCATCCTTCTGTCGTACTGTGAGCTTGTACTGTATGCTTGGTATGACCGTCCTTCTGTCGTACCGTGAGCTTGTACTGTATGCATGGTATTACCATCCTTCTGTCGTACTGTGAGCTTGTACTGTATGCTTGGTATTACCATCCTTCTGTCGTACTGTGAGCTTGTACTGTATGCTTGGTATTACCATCCTTCTGTCGTACTGTGAGCTTGTACTGTATGCTTGGTATGACCGTCCTTCTGTCGTACTGTGAGCTTGTACTGTATGCTTGGTATTACCATCCTTCTGTCGTACCGTGAGCTTGTACTGTATGCTTGGTATTACCATCCTTCTGTCGTACCGTGAGCTTGTACTGTATGCTTGGTATTACCATCCTTCTGTCGTACTGTGAGCTTGTACTGTATGCTTGATATTACCGTCCTTCTCTCGAGACGGACAACAGACAATCTCAAGTCGCAGCAAGCTGGAGTCAAGTTTAAACTCAGGGTATGAAACTCCCAAAAATTTCAGCCAGACCACAGGACTGACTAGCTGAAATACTTGCCAGCCCTGACCAAAACCTGCCTGCCCACTATAATCATATGTTTCTCAGGATAAGCTAACGGGGTTTCTTTTTGGTTACATTTTATCATTCATCTTTACATGTGAATTAATGCTTATCATCGGGAAATATTTTGAATATTTTCACGTATGAAATATAACCCGACCGTCGGGCAGGGGGATTTGAAAATCTAGCAGCCCGAGTTGAAATCAACCCGTCTCGGACGGTCGGGGGGGCAGGTATTTCGAACACTGTTAAACTTCATCATGAATTTGTTACTTAACTGATATCAATCACTGGATTGTCTGGTCCAGACTTACAGACCACCGTCATATAGCTGGAATATTGCTGAGTGCGTTGTTTAACAACAAACAAACAAACTAATCTTAGGGGTTTGGATTTACATGAACCCCAGCTAAAGATGACAGTGGGTACGATGTACTGCTAGTGTACATTAAAGTGGCAGCCAATGGGGACATCAGAGAGAAGATCAGTGCTGATCGTTTTACAACTTTTGATGGGATATATTGGAGCCTGCTCCAGGTACACGCCCGCCTGCAACTGGGACGAGGAATCAATAGTGTAGACTTAAGAGTGGCCATTAAATGTCACGCTCCACCTATTAACTTGAATATTCACATTGTTTGTTATCGACTCCATTCACGATATGATGAATTTGGTCCGTGTAAGCTTTTGTTTGTTTCTTCCTCGGTTAATTATAAGTCAGATATACACTCCTGCCAGACTCTTCTATGTAGACTCATTTCAGTTATAGACTCCAGACACTCTTTTCTTGGATTCAAATATTCATCATCATACTCATCGTCCATGCCTGTCTCGACATCTAATATTTATGTGTGTGGCCTCAAATATCCAATCGGAAATTTTAAAAACCACTTTAATGTTAAAATGTTAGTGTTATAAAACTAAACGTAGTATACAACTGATAAAAGAGTGATAACACAATAATACTTACACTTCTCGAATGACCATGCAAACTGACAAACCTCATTAAATACAAAGGTGTAAAATATTCACATGAAAATTTTCTAGTCATATTCTTGAAAGGAATTCTATTGGTGTCTGTACACCTCCAGATACAGTTTAGACCAGTGTGAGGTCTACAGATGCATGGTCTAGACCCAATATCAACCATGGTTTTATACAATATTATTTTTATATCACGCCAACCTTTTGTAGTGCAGAATTGTGCATTCACAAAGTAAATACGTTAATAAAATATGAAATGAAATACAATTATATTCACATGCATATTCCTTTCGGTAAATGTCCTACATCTGGCTGATATCAACTGTATCGTCAGTATGTCCGACATTCAACCTGACTTTTTCAGACATCCATTGAGGCAGTACGTGCAGGCAAATCAAAATCTTTGTTTTATTTTACAGTGCAAGTGAAGTGCCTGTCCTTGAACACGGGGGAGCAATTCTGTCTCCTAGCAACCGATATAACCTCCCCTCACTGGGGGTTTTGCTTGCCACTTATGTGTAGCGCCATCATACTGGCCTGCAAAATCCCAACTGAGGAGGGCTGAAAGCTGCTGATGCTGGACCAATCAAAGAGCTGGTTACAGTCAGGTATCCAATCATGCGTGTAAAGTCAAACACATGCGTGGAATCACACCTTCTAGGTAACTTTACCTACTGACTTTAGACTGAATGACGTCATAAACTTACTTAGGTTTCAAATGTGGGATCTCTGTTACGGAAGTGCATGCATTCTGGTTGTTTTCCGAGAATTGTTTAATTAGTAAGATTATGGGTTTCCAATGGCAATACGTTTTTGAAGGTATGACAGCATATTGTGACGTTACGTAGGAATATCAGGGAGGTTCAATAAATTGTCTACTATTTCAAAGCATGGTGCTGTAATTGTTATAAATACCGTATTTCCTCAATTAGAAGCCGGTTCGTCTATCAATTTCGGCAAGCCGTTGACCCGGGGTCTATTCTATCCTATTCTGCACAGTGGCCTACCTAACGAATCCCAAATTCTAGTCATACAAAGAGTACATTTTCAGGGAACGGTCGTTATTAATCACCAACATATCACAGTGTTATCTTGGGATCGGGCGTCTTACAGAGGCCCGGCTTCTACCTTTTGGACAGAGCGTATGGCGTCAGTTGGAGGTCGGCGTGTATGGAGTCTCAGCGTCTAATAGAGGAAATACGGTACTCTTAATCTAAGTTTCAGGTTTCAAAATCTTGTAGAGACTGTTGTCGTGAGTGTATAAGGAAGGAAGCAAGACACCCCACGCAGGATTTCACAGGCTTCTCTATACTGTATTTATTAATAAAACTCGTGCCAGAAGATACATTTGTTGAGTTCTGTATAAACTTGTGTTGTCAACCCAAATCTGTCCTTTCTTTCGAAACGACCCATATCAGCGTGAATGCACTACCGCAAAAAGTTGAAGATAACATTGTGTCAGATGCCTAAGTCACATCTTCTCGTAATCGGGAAACACACATTTCTCTACATTTTCTCAGAAAATAAACTGTGGGTAATACGTGTATTGAGGATGATGTTCCCTAGGGAAATAGTGTAATTAATTTACAGCTGTATTCGGGACAGATAACCCGTACCTCCTTGAAGCTTGTTGATTATTCTTGGACTACTCGTGGTCAGATGACAGACGTTATCCTAGTACTAGTCTCCTATGCTGCACAGACGTGTCCAGCAACACGTACACTGTACCTACCGATGGTGAGTGAGTTAGGTTCAACTAATATACGGATTGACATCTTGTAAATGTTGGAAGAAAACCAAGAGCATAGGTGTGGCTGGTCTTTTCAGACCGAGGACAATAAAGGGACGATCTGGGAGTCGAGGTGGGGTGAAGTGAAATGGGGTTTAATGTCGCGTCCAAGATTATTATATAGAACCGGGGTGGCATCTGGGAGTCGAACCCACGAACAACGAAATCTGACAACTGAGGGTTCAGTGCTTGTCTGTAAAACGTCGAGTACTCACACCCCTCTAGTATGTTCTTATACTGTTGATAAGGAAACAAGTCAGTGAAATTCACACTAACCCAACACTATTTTAATGGCCGTTAAATCTGAGACGTTGTGTGAAGACTAATTCACAAGCCCTGTTGGGTAGTTCAAACTTCAAAGTTATATCGTCTTTGTATAAATAGGTTCTACGCTGACTTTCTGAAACTATTACATAATGTATAATATTTGATTTACCACAGCCTTTATTTGACCAAGCTTGTAGGTAAACAAACTCGTTCATCTGTTGAACTTAGGGCTGGAACATGTTTATCACAATACTAATGCAAGCGTGTTTCTCCACACAACGTTTGATTCAATTACAAAAACCGTCACTGTTAAACAGGCACGTTCCATGTTGCGCGTTGAAATCCATTGGTGGATGCAGCACAATTAAACAAAACATTCAAAACATAACTCAATATTATTCCGGCTAAAGTTCGCTTTATTAAAAACGTTGAATTTAAACAAATAAATCTTTCCCAACAATTACTGTTAGCGGTTATATCTAATGTAAACAAAATATTAAGCTCTATAAGTCATTTTAAGAATGTTAGGTAGGTAAGGTTGTGGTTGAATATACACGGTATTGGGAAAACCACATCATACATCTGTAGAGATTCAGCACAATAACTGTTCGGAAAAATGAATTTTATCACACGTCATTCACCACGTTCAAAGGGACATAACTCTAATGAGGTCTCGTCCAATACAACACCCAGGATGGTGTATGCTGCTGGTGTATTGTTCATCAGAGGCCATAAACAATTTTTTTATGGTCTCTGGTTTCATCACACAATGTCTTGCGACAAACATGAACAACTCGCAATTTTTACAGACCATTTTGTAAGGTAGTGGAAACTGAGAATATAATTTCTCTACAAAGACACTCTCGTCGTCGCAAACCGGTCATTTATTTGTGACCACTCGTGTCATTCCGGGAGAAGCATGTTCATTCGTCATCACTCGTATCTATCCGTAATCTACACGAAGGCTCGTGAGTCGAAACGGCGCAAGCCAATCACAATGCGCGTCAGGATACGGGTACTTCGATCGCTATAATCTCGATTATTTTATTTAATTATAGCAATATGAGTTTGTTTACAGTGATACGGATAACCGAATTGTGTTCAATAAGTTGCTGTTATTTGTAGGACCATGATGGATATTATATTGCGGACATTTTAGTCCATTTGCGATATTTACAGATGTGTTTGTAACACATCAAAATAGTTAATGCTTCAGTAAAGCCAACATACATCATTTTCATATTGTATTAATAAAATAATATGTTCTAGTTAAATATTAGAATTTGTAAAGTCGACATGTGAATATTGAAAGAAGAGATAGATGGATGTTTTCAGGTCGTATATATTTCTTCATGGTATCACGGTGTTCGTGGATCATATCAACATTAGATGAGGTGTAGTCAGCGGGTTTAGACATGTGTACCTAATGAAAGCTTTTATTGAAAAAGACCTGTCTATATATACGACTTTGTCTGATATTACTCTTGAGTACAAATGTGGTAGGCGTTACTGTTGGCTAGAAATACGATGTCTGCCATTAGTCGATAGCTAGCTATACAGCACTGACATATATAGAGACAATCCACTGTTCCATAACAAGTAGTTCAACAATGATGCTCAACTGAGGCTTTGTTAGCATTTTAACGGGACGATTTGTGTTGATGGATTACTCGCACTAAAATTAGGACAATGACAAGTAAAATATAATTAAAACGGATTTAACTGCTGTTATATCATTGGGTGATTGTCTAGTTCATTCAGTTACCCCTACACACGCACGCACGCACAAACACACACACACACACACACACACGCTCGCACGCACGCACGTACACACACAAACACACGCACGCTCACACAAACGCACGCACACACACGCACACACACCGTGTTTTGTCAGATCCGGGTCACATGCCTTTATGACATTAACAAGAAACAAAAGATGACCGAACAAACAAGATACATGGGTTTGAATATTACAATGGTGTGTAGGTGAAGTCCATTAACCCCATATGATTTGTAAAGTGAAATGGTCATACAACATCGTGATATAACTCATTCACTGAAAAACTGTTCTAAACAGCGTTAAATCCAGCTCACTCACTTACTCACTCTCAATGGTCATCCTATGTTGTTGATTATTTAGAAATACTTTAATACATCTCTAGACAGGATGGACATGGCATTCCTTAATAATGTCATAGTAATGAACTCATATTCTGTGTATACTATTTCTTAACGCTGTTGATGAAAGGACAATTTCAGACATCAAATCCATAGTTTAAAATTGCCGCTTCAAGCAGGGAAAAGAAATGATGTTAAACCGAAAACCACTTTCGTCTTGTCAGTTTTCTTTATCTGTTTTTAAATTTGAAATAAAAACATAATTTGAAAAAAATATGAACAGCTGAGAATTAATGCGTTAAATAGCTTGTCAAATATACATTTTTACAAAAGGATGTGTTTATGTCAGAGAGTAGTCTAGATTACATAGATATTTGAGAATGAAGTAAGTCTATTTAATAGATAGTAAAATTCTTGCTAACAAAATGATCTAACTTAGTTATCATTTTTCATTTCCAAACCTATATTTCTAAATATGACTTAAAAAGTAAAAATAAACCAGCTTACAGTGAAATGTTATGCTTTCTTAATTATTTTTTTAAAGCCACAATTCACTTTCACATTTGTCAATACAAGATTCACATATATGTAGCTTAACAAATGTTTGTCCGTTTGTTGTTTAACACCACCCTCAGCTACACTCCAACTATACGACGGCGGTCTGTAAATAATCGGTGACAATTGAGGTGTAATTTGAGCAAACGCGCGTGTAGATTTGAATCTCTCTCCGTGATTGGTCCTCTCTGTCTTAATAACTACAATTCATAACACAATTCTGTTATCCATGTATTTTGTAAATGTAAATGACATAACATATTGTTAAAGATTTTATAAACGATCACATATTGCCAATTTGTTTTTATGTACTCAGGATTATTTTTCACAAAGTACCCCAATACTTACGCGCATTCTCATTGGTTAGTCGTATTTACGCACATAACATTGATGATCATTGGTCGATAGGGGGACGGGTCTTCTTGCAGGTTACGGAGCGGTGAGAGTTGTGACCAATGTAGAAGAACGTCTCCATTCGGCTTGTCCCGGAATGACAAGAGTTGGTCACGAATGGTTTATTACATTGGACCCAAGTGACTACCAAGAATTCAGAATTGTGTTCCTTTCCAAAAGAGATGTAAACCCATTACTGCGAAATGTGAATCATTTTATATAGTTTGAAAACTGTTTGAACTAACAGTAGTGTGGTCCAGGGTGGAATGCGAATCACACATTTACGCCCTGACTACCAAGGAAGCTTCCCATAGCCCGGCGCCAAGCCAGCTTTGTTTGTTTGTCTGTTTGATTGATTGTTTGTTTGTTTGTTTGTTTGTTTGTTTGTTTGTCAATACCGCACTCAGTAATATTACGGCTATATGACGGCGGTTTGTAAATAATCGAGTCTGGACTAGGCAATGCAGTCATTGACACCATAAGCATTGATCCACGCAATTGGGATACGATGACATGCATCAACCAAGTCAGCGAGCCTGACCACCCGATCCCGTCAGTGGCCTCTTGCGACTTTACGGCAAGCATGGGTTGCTGAAGACCTATTCTACCCCGAACCTACACAGGTGCCAAGCCAGCTTTTAATATAGAAGCAGATTCCACCGTGAATAACTGAAATAACGCTGTTGCGGTGTTACATGGTATAACTTACACGTAATGATAGACTTGAACGTGATCTGTGATCTGGTAGTGACGTTAAACGAAGCACTGCACAAGTTGGACGTCAGAACAACAGTTTTCTGTGAAGCGTACCGAGAACGAGGCTTTTCACGTGATCGGGTCCATAGCCCTGCGTTTAGTTGCCTGCGATATCTAAACTGATTTCAAAATATAACAAGAGTCACCCGAAGATGACACCCCCCCCCCCCCCCCCCCCCCCCCGACGTGGCATGTCGGTAAACTGTGTGTACCTTCGAATGTATTTAGATTGGCAACGTAAAAAATATAAAATTCTAAAAATCTCTAAATAGCAAAAGGCACTTCTACTGAGCCTGATTGTTAAGTGTACCAAGTTTTGCGAGGCTAGGTTGTACGGTTTAGGAAATATGCTCCGGACAAGAGCACTACCCTCAAATTTCATCATATTTCCATGGAAACGACAAAAGATGTTTTTCTAAAAATCTCTCAATAGCAAAAGGCACTACTACTGAGACTGAT